TTTGGACAAAAACAACAACATTGGCTCTGCTGAATCTCAGGCCTTCAGAGGGGAACTGGAACCAAACCATTGGCTCTCGCTAGCCAATTCACCTTGCACATCTTGGGACTTGCCCACCTCCATAACTGTGTGAGCCAATTCCTTATAATAAATCTTTAGGCTGGGTGCAGTGGCTCACACCTGTAATTCCAGCACTTTGGGAAGCTGAGACAGGAGGACTGCTTGAGCCCAGGAGTTCGAAACCAGCCTGGACAACATAGTGAGATCCTGTCACTGGAAAAAAAAAAAAAATCTTTATACACACACACATACACACCCCCTACTCACTGCTTCTCTGGAGAACCCTGACTAGTACAAGGGGTCCCTATTTCAAGGGCTCATACCCCAATCCCAGATCTGCCAGAAGAGTGAATCTGCCAAAGAAGTGCTATGATGGCCTGGAGCCCTGAAACAAAATGGCAAACACATAACATAAGACTGCACCAGAAAGTCAGACATGATTTGTCAGCCTTTATTAATCAAGAGTAAAGCCAAGCCCTAGGGTTTCCTTAACAACAACAAAAAGAACATCAACCTTGTTTATGGCAAACAGTGACTTAATTCTTAATGACTGTTCATTATATGTTTAACACCACAGAGCAAGAATTGATCACGTTTCAATCACTTATTCTTCTGAGATTAAAATACAAGTTTAAAACAGATTAAAATAAAATTCACTCCAATGATTTAAAAAATAATTCCAATTGAAAGACATTTCAAACACTGTATGCAGAACTCAGGACCAAAAGAAGACCTTAAAACATTTTTTACCTTTGAGGTAGCACAATAATGCTGAATTAGATTTATTTTATTACAATGAGCTTAAAAAAACAACACAGAATCTACCCTTTGCTCAAGGTGGGCTAAATGGTTTTACGAAAACCCCCCATGAGGTTAGTGACAGTTCTTGTCCTTTTTTTTTTTTAAAGTATAAAGATAGCCCTGCAGTGTGTAAAAGGAAACCTATAGGAAGGCTGCTTCCCATAAAATAGACAATAGAATCATTGAGGAAATGTCAGCAGTCAAGACAGGAGGAACAAGAGGTCATCGTAGTGAAAAACCAAAACAACTTGTATCTTGGCAAGATTGGTTTACAAGTTCATGACAAGAACAAAAATTCCAACATCAGCCAACTGAAAATAAAAGATAAAAAATGACATTCATGGATCTTTTTACTTTTTCTCTGTGCAAAATGCTCTTCTTTCTAAATGAGAGAGGGTAGCTTGTACACTGTGACATGACATGAAATGCTGTGTGCCCAGGGCACTGCTGGGTGCCAACAGCACCTCTCACTGAATACGATATTATTGTGTGCAGAGAAAATGGGCAATCGGAGGATAAACATAACCTCTCCTGGCTGGAGAACCATTTCTTGCCACTTTGCTGCTGAATTCACTCATTAAACTGCTCAAAGGAAAAGCTCTACTCCGATTTCTGAGAGTCTATAGCAATATATGTAACACAATTATATGTGAAGACTATTGACTAACAGGACAATAGCACATGAACTTTTCCTTCAGATAATTCAACCAAGAGAAGAGAGTGGGTGGGATAAGCTAGGGGTCAAAAGGAAGGCTCTCAGGAATATTCTCTACCATCCAAAATCAACAGCAAAGCCATAAAAGGGGCATGAGCTCTAACTCATTGAAGAGAACACAAAACAGTAACAAAGGGATCTCTTCCCAACACATGCTCCTCTCCATGAGGCTCAACCATCAGTGCAGGGCTTGCCTGATGTGGACAATGTGGATACCTCAGCCCTGAGTTGAAATTGGTCTGCCACCTTTGATTCCCCATGCTGCAAAAAGAATTGGAACGCTCTCAGGTCCTGGCACTGTGGTAACGGCTATACCCTATTTCACTCACAGACGTCCTTTTAGTCTCCCTTTCTCAAGCTATTAAATAGAACCCCCTAGGGATCCTGTATGCAGTGAGGGTCTGAACTGATGATCCACATGTCAATCAGTAGTTAGAGAAGGATGACTTTTTTTTTTTTGAGATAGGGTCCCACTTTGTCCCCCAGGCTGGAGTGCAGCGGCACGATCATGGCTCACTGCAGCTTCAATCTCCCGGGTTAAAGGAATCCTTTCACCTCAGCCTTCTGAGTGTGCACCACCAGGTCCAGCTAACTGTTTTTTTTAACTTTTTTTTTTTTTTTTTTTCTTGGTACAGGCAGGGTCTCCTTCTGTTGCCCAGGATGGTTTGGAACTCCTGGGCTCAAGCAGTCTTCCTACTTTGGCTTCCCAAAGTGCTAGGATTGCAGGCATGAGCCACCATGCCCAACCTGAGCAGGATGACTTAAACCTGATCAATTCTACTCCAAAACAGCAACCATCATTAAGTCAGGGGTGTCAAGGAGGACTCTGACGGGAAAGACTAGACTGGGATGTGTGCCAGAGCGGGACGAGAAGGCCCATCCCTAGCAGACTGCAGGAGAAACTCTGGCATAGAATTCACCGCCAGCCCTATCTAGTGTGATGGATGACAGGGAGGAGGCATCTGCTCAGTGTTCAAACAAAATCCTAACAAGTTCTGGGGCTGGACCTCTATGTCACTCCTGAATCCCAATGTATCCATTACCTTTGCAAGAAACTGGTGTGATTCTTGTCTGTTAAGGGCAAGACCTGCTTTCTCAATTTACTTGATAATAAAGTAACACTATGGAAAAGAAGAACCTCAGAAAAATGTGGGGTCACCACATGGGCTTTCCCAGTGCTAGCTGCCTGTTTTGGAGTATTAATTACAACCCTTCACAATTCTGAAGGCTGCAACGTAGGCTACAGAGGGCAGTCTGAAAAGAGTCCTTCTGCTTTTGCTTCATGGAGCTTAAGAAGAAAAGAGGAGGCCGGGCGCAGTGGCTCAAGCCTGTAATCCCAGCACTTTGGGAGGCTGAGACGGGCGGATCACGAGGTCAGCAGATCAAGACCATCCTGGCTAACACGGTGAAACCCCGTCTCTACTAAAAAATACAAAAAACTAGCCGGGCGAGGCGACGGGCACCTGTAGTCCCAGCTACTCGGGAGGCTGAGGCAGGAGAATGGCATAAACCCGGGAGGCGGAGCTTGTAGTGAGCTGAGATCCGGCCACTGCACTCCAGCCTGGGCGACACAGCAAGACTCCATCTCAAAAAAAAAATAAAAATAAAAATAAAAAAAGAAGAAAAGAGGAATTACCAAGGTTGTGGTGGGTTATTTACTCTGGAAATATCTTGGTTACATTGTCCGTGGCAAAAGCGGAAAGCCTAGCTTATGTGGACAGTCGAAAGTGAATGTGTGGGCCATCATTATCTATGACAGAAATGACTCAAGCCCTAGCATGTAATCTCTTAGGGACTTAACAAGTTAAAAAGAAACAAAAAATCATATTGGAAATGGCCTCTTGATTTAATATAAACTTGGTTACAACATTCAAATTTATCTTTACCGAAATTTCACACTGCTCCTAGGAGCCCTAGGAGCATCTGATTCTAAGTTATTCTGAAGGAAAAAAAATTTATTCTGAAATATACCTTATTGGGATGATCACTGGACTTCTACCTGATATAATTAAAAGGCTAAATGGGTTTTAAATAAATACAAGCTAAATTACCTTCTTCTGGGGTTAACAATTAGAATCCCAAATACCCCAACATCTCATCTAGAAAGGCCTTCCCGGCCGGGCGCGGTGGCTGAAGCCTGTAATCCCAGCACTTTGGGAGGCCGAGACGGGTGGATCACGAGGTCAGAAAATCGAGACCATCCTGGCTAACACGGTGAAACCCCGTCTCTACTAAAAAATACAAAAAAATAGCCGGGCGAGACGGCGGGCGCCTGTAGTCCCAGCTACTCAGGAGGCTGAGGCAGGAGAATGGCGTGGACCCGGGAGGCGGAGCTTGCAGTGAGCTGAGATCCGGCCACTGTACTCCAGACTGGGAGACAGCGAGACTCCGTCTCAAAAAAAAAAAAAAAGAGAAAGGCCTTCCCAGTAATTCTATGAAATTGTAAATGATACCAAATTTTTTTTTTTTTTTTTTTTGTGAGATGGAGTCTTGCACTGTTGCCCAGGGTGGAGTGCAATGGTGCGATCTCGGCTCACGGCAACCTCCGCTTCCTGCGATCAAGCAATTCTCCTGCCTCAGCCTCTCAAGTAGCTGGGATTACAGGCACCCACCACAATGCCTGGCTAATTTTTTGTATTTTTAGTAGAGACGGGGTTTCACTGTGTTGGCCAGGCTGGTCTTGAACTCCTGACCTTGTGATCCGCCCGCCTTGGCCTCCCAAAGTGCTGGGATTACAGGAGTGGGTCACCGTGCCCGGCCGATGCCAATTTTTGAAAACAGATTTGATCTTTAGGATAAATGCCTGAGTTAGCTGACAAACTTCCATATATATGAATATGTTCAAGTGAAATTACCTAAAGAGTAATTTTTTCTTTTCTTTTTTTTTTAAGAGACAGGGTCTCACTGTGTTGCCCAGACTGGAGTGCAGTGGCATGATCACAGCTCACTATAGCCTCGACCTCCTGGGTTCAAGTGATCCTCCCACTTCAGCCTCCTAAGTAACTGGGACTACATGCACAAACCACCACACCTGACAAATTAAAAAAATTTTTTTTTTTTTTTTTTGCCAGGCGCAGTGGCTCACGCCTATAATCCCAACACTTTGAGAGGCTGAGGTGGGCAGATGACCTGATGTTGGGAGTTCGAGACCAACCTGACCAACATGGAGAAACCCCATCTCTATTAAAAATACAAAATTAGCCCAGCATAGTGGTGCATGCCTGTAATTCCAGTTATTCAGGAGGCTGAGGCAGGAGAATTGCTTGAACCTGGGAGGTGGAGGTTGCGATAAGCCAAGACTGCGCCATTGCACTCCGGCCCGGGCAACAAGAGCGAAACTCCATCTCAACCAAAAAAAAAAAAAAAAAAAAAAAAAATTTTTTTTCTTTCTAGAGACAGGGTCTCACTTTGTTGCCTAGGCTGGTCTTGAGCGATCCTCCCAGCTCAGCCTCCCAAAGCACTATGATTATAGGCATGAGCCATTGAGCCTGGCCTGAGAATTTTCTTTAATTTCAAAAAAAATAGCTGCTGCTTCTTTAAAGAGTTTAAAAATTGATGGGTTCAATGGCAAAGCTACACAACAACTCTGGAGTAGAAGGAAAGAGCTCTCTTTATAGTACAACCTCTTTCCAGCATACTGCCATTGGCCAGTAGGGGCAACTGCAAACAAATGGTAGGAGTTGCCCAGGAAGGTATTTGGGTTGGACAAAGTGATAGCAACCCTCCAGACCCTGACTCCTTATAAATGGGTAACAATTCATTCATGCAGACTGCACAGAGGTTAAACAAAAAGATATAAAAAACCCTCAAAATCCCCAACCCAGAAAACCTTTCCTGGCCCTCTACTAACAGTAAAATGTGCTAAGCCCAAATTTTCTGCTTTAACATGGGTCCCACTGACCTATCAGTCTGCTCTGGGGTGCTGACCTGCTGGGTCCTGAGCAGGGTCTTTCCCTAAGCATCACTGTGGGTTTGGAGACAGCTGTAATGTGTGCAGCTGTCAGCAGAAAGTACAATGCCACTAGGCTACATATGTCCACACCATCCACCACCATTTCCCACTGTAAAACCGCAGGCTGTGACTGTGAACAAATGTGGACTTTCTCAAGGGACAAATGAGGAGACTGAAGGCTACATTTCCTCCTTTGAGAACGATTAGAGAGTGTCTACAGTTACACAACAGGTTTTTGCAGACCCTGTGGTAACTTCCATAAGTAAGAGTAGCAGCAAGAGAGGAAAGGAGCATGTTTATACTTTGGACTTTGTATCAGGCACTTAAATTGTTGGAGAGACATGCTGTTTTGAACCAAAGATGTAAAAACTGGGTTGGAGTAATCTTTACAAGTGGTCTAATAATGGGCTTTCAGAAGCAAAGTGGAGGTGTGGGTTGAACCTCTGCCCATCCTTTAGTGCTGACTTTCAAGTTTTCTAAATGCCCATAACCACAGCAATGGCAGCAGTGGTGGCAACAGCAGGAACAGTTCTGTCATGTTTGTTTTCTGTATGTGTTCTGTGGCTGACCGGAAGGTTTTGGTGTCACACTAAGAAGGCTCTGGGGTATGGCACACCTACTGCCCGAGGTTGCCCAGATCCATGCTGGAGCCAAACATCTTCACCAGCTGTTCCTCATAGTGTGAGATGTTCCTCTTCATGATGTCCATGCAGGGCCCCAGAAGCCTCTCGAATGCTTGTACATCCATAACTGCATTGTTAAAAAGAGGTGAGGGAGAGAATGAATTCAAGCCATTTCCCTCATGCAAACCTTTTCCTAAACATACCCATTCATGTTATAGGAGATTACACCTTGGGACACTGGCTACTTGCAAAAAGGGATGTTTCTACATGAATTCAGAAAGACTGTGTCATCCAAGTTAGAGACTTTACAGAGTCCAGCAGCACCTGTTCTCCCCATTCTCCCACAGC